GGAAAAGCCTCGTGCTACCACCCGACTCCAGGAGCTGCAGGTTTAGGGAGAAACACCCAAATACCGTGAGATGCCCAAGAGTCACAACATTGGCATTGCCATCACACCTCCCCCAACTGCCAAACCAACTCTGGTCTTGGGGGTTACAGATATCAGAGATGATTTGATGCAGAAGGCCTTTTGCAAAGTCTCCCCTTGAATTTCTGACTCACTTATTTAATGCTTCCCAAAACGAGTGCTCCCAGGTTAAGGGTGGGAAAAGCTTTTCTTGGCTGACCTGCTGCAGTGTGTGTCCCTTTTCAAACACCTCTAGAGGCAAGAACCTTCCAGTTTAGACATAAGGCAGCCCCAGTGCACGGTTTGGGTTTAAACCAGCATGTAAAGGGGCTGGAGGGCATACTCATGCCCTCACTACCCCTGAAAGAGCCATACTCCCACCTCCTTCCACCCTAGGGGTTGTGAGCACCCTCTGTCTGATCAGTGCAGAGAGATGAGCCAGCCTCAGATGTCCCACGTGCTCCCCGAGGTATTTGGGGTGTTTCTCCTACAGGTTTGGGAGCCCCAGCTATGCTGCATCCTCCCCTTCCAGCTATCGAGAATCTCCCCAGGTTATGAGCAAGGTTTGAAGCAGCAACAAAAAACAAAGCTCAGACTTACTCCAGGACAGGACTTCCAGGGGGGTCACGGAGGAGGACTCGGGGTGACTCGGCAAGGACCGAGGCTGGAGGTGGATATGGCAGTGTCTTGGCACCTACAGATCTCTCCCCCCGATTTGGCACCCACACTCTGTCCAGGGCACAGCCAGCGCTGATGGGCTGTGTCCCCACCACTTCACCCCCTCCAACCAGAGCACCTCCTGGGTTTTGTGGCAGACACCCCCCAAACCACCCCCCAGCTCCTTTTGCTGTCTCACTCGTGCACCAACTCACCGGTTCTTAAATCATACACTTCCACGGGGCCAGATCTTTCTTTAGACTTTGCTGGTAATTCCCAGTATGAGCAAAACGTGACCACTACTTGTTTCTCTTTTTCTTAAGAAACCATCGATGGAGTTTGTGCCACCACCCCAAGCCCCATGTGAGAGCCCCATCAGTCCAGCTCCCGTTTGGCATCATTAAATGCACGCAGATGTGTGTGAGACCTCTACACAACCCTCAGATAAATGAACCTCAGAGCCCATTTGGTCCGTGTTTGAGGCTACCCCTCTCCCTGTTACTGAAAGAAGTTATTTAAAGGAGCCCAGGGACACAGGTTGGTGCTGGGGAGATGTCTAGGCTTTACAGAAATCACTGCATGTGCCTCCACACCCACAGCAGCACCACCAGCACGTGACTTGCCTTGGATCTCCTCAGCCCGCGATGCTAAAACAAAAAAATATATCATTTTCTTTGCACCAGGTGGCTTTTTTTAAGACTGAAAGGTGGCTTTTCAAGAGTGTCAAAGGAATTAAGTCATTAAAATGTGGATGAGTTTGATGGATTATGAGCTATGAAAGCCTGGTGGTTACTGACTAATAAGGCTGGGAGGTGGAGGAGGGGGGGATGTTTCCTCTTGTAAGGATGTGTTTCTAACAAGACAGGTCAAAAATATGATGCGGATGATAAATTGCTCTAAAAGTTGCCATTAACCCAGCAGCTTTCTCCATTATTAGATTACCAAGGCATCCTCAGAGCACATTGACCACGCAGTTTTGCTCTGTATCAGTGCTAATTTGCAGAGTGAGACCTGGGGGGGAGGTTATTACGCTCGCTGCAGTGAATTCCCCACTCCCAACAAAGGGGCAGCTGCCGGCAGGTGTCTGTGGTGCATTTGGAAAGGATGGGTTTATCCCTGTCGGGGTTTGGGGTGGGGTAGAGGAGAGTGGGATTTGCGGTTTCTTTTCGGGTTTTTTTTTGTTTTGTTTTGTTTTTTTCCACGCCATAACCCGAATCTCATTGTCTTACGTGGGGGTGGGGGGGGTTTGAATCAAAAAAAAAAAAAAAACTAAAAAAAAAAAAAAAGGAGAAAGAGAGAACAAAAAGAAGGGGGGGTGGGGGAAATAATAATTAAAAAAAAAAATCACATTGGAAAATGATCAGCCCCAACAGGCATGCATGTCTCCCTTCATGCAAGCGAGAAGCACAGCCTCCCTCCTCGGGATGTGTACGGGGACATGTGTCAGGCACGGAGGAGCTCAGCGCTGGCCCGGGGCGAGGATGGAGCGAGAACAAAGGGCCACGGCAAACACTACATCCAGGGGGGAGCAGGGGGGCGACCCGCCGGTGCTCATACAGGGTGGGGGGACAGGATGGCCAAACAGTCACCGAGGTACACGGAAAAGGAAATATGGAGAAGGAAATCATAAGTAAATGTTTATAGAGAAAACCAACCAAACTCAGGATAAAGCTAGGAGGGAGGTGGAAAGGCACGGCCTTGCAAAATGATGCGTCTCTGGGAGGGATGCTGGGGTAAGGCAGGGCAGGCTGCCGGAGCCACTGGATTTTGCTTTGTTTGCCAGAGGCTCCTCGTGAAATTTTTAGCGGTGGGAACCCACCGACCTGCTGAAATTTGTCTTCCTCTCATTAAAGACCAATCACCAATCCTGTGTCTCCCCCCACCCCGGCTTCTGTGGAAATGTAATTAAAGACAAGATGCTTCCCCCCACCGCCTCCCCTTCCCAGCCCCATCTCTCCTGGCTTTGGGAGCCCTGACTTCCCTCAGTTTCTCGTGGCATCCAAGCCAAAGCTGGGAGGTTTTACAGGACCATTTTGCAGACCTGGGAGAGGGGTCTGGTGCAGGAACAAGGGAGAGGTGGCCACTATTATTATCGCTTTGCTGCTGCAGCAAAACTGCTCGCTGACCGCAATTTATCCATCCCTCCACGCTTCCAAATATTTTAAGGTTCCCCATTACTTTCTCCCAACCCCGTACTTTGCTTTTTTAAATTCTTTTTTTTTTTTTTTTGACCAAATCGAGTTTATTCAGAAGATGGTAGGCCTGGAGGCTTCGAGCAGGAAAAATGTAGTTACAACATTAGCAGCTGGGACGGTTTTTACGAGCCCTGCCTTGCAGGGGTCTAGTGAAGATATTTATAGCGTGCCAGTCGCCGCGGGACCGAGGCACGGCAACTTCTCGCCTGGCAGATGGTGGGCAGGGCACTCGCAGAGATGTATACGTTTAAATATACAGCTTAAAGATTAAAGGGAATTTTTTTTTTTTAATCTCCCAGGCTCGTTTACACCTCTTGTTAATCAAAGAGTTTCAAAAAAAACCCAAACAATTCCCCCCATCCATCCGGAGGTCGCTTCGGTTATCAGTTCTGGTAAGGAATGTGTAATGTTGTAACTAGAATGAATAAGCAGCAGACCCTTCATCAAATATCTGGGTTTTTTTTTTTCCCCGATTAATAATGAGGGATTGGATTGTACACTTTTTTTTTTTAGCTATTCTGCGGTAAAAACAGAATTCTGCATCGGCACAACAGCAATACGGACTGTGCGCTGGGGATTATGTACACACAGACTAATGCTGAGGGTAGATATGGGATAGGAGGGGGGAAAAATGTATTTAAAAGCCCCCCCACATCTGCACTACGAGGGAGGAAAAAAATCCACTCACTCAAACCTCACGATGGGGGGGGAAAAGCAAGGAAAAAATCTAAACAGCAGGATACGACAATAAATGGGGAAACAGCAATAGAAAAAGCACACTAGGTTAATATAGGAAAACTAGTTTCTTTATTGAGAGATCGTATATTAGTATTAGTGGAATCGTGTGTAACAATGTCATCATGCACACAATACAAAAAGGCAAGGCCCACCATGCTATGGAAGGGCAACAGAACAAAAGCAGCGTACACTGAGCAGATGTATAGGCTACAGCACATTACATTTCAGCAGGGTATGTCTCTACAGAGAGATTTACATCAGAAACTAGGTAATGTAAAAAAATACAGACCATGCTTTAGTTTTAGTACAAGAAAAAAGGTGGAGATACACAACCAAAGGATATTCGGTACAGAAAAAATTACCCACAAAATAAGAACAGGAAGTAATTTAGCACAGCAGAAAAAAATGTTATCCCTGTTTAATGGAAAACCATTTTGCCAGTCGTCTCTTTTTCGCAGCCCAGTTTTGTTCGGGGTTTTTTATTTGGGGGGGGGAGGGGGTAGGTGTTGGCCAGTTTTGGGGGTGTGCTGGCGGGACAGGACACTTGTGGCTGGATGGATGGAAGGACGGACGGGGCGGGGGTCGGTGCCAGCGGGGACAGAGGTGTCACCGCGGGGACAGGGATGCTGCACCCCCCGCCAGCAGCTCCCGGGGGGGGCACTTTAACTCCCGCTCAACCACAGATCCCACTCCCCAGCTCTTTTTCCAGCCTGATTTTCAGGGAATCGGGGCCAATCGCTGGGTTTCCTCTCCCCGACTTAGAGTATTTTTTAGAAGGTTTGGAGCAGGGAGGCGGGACCAGAGGACCCCGGTGTGGTCGCTTACAACCTCACCCGTCCTGTGATTGTGGTTTTGGCCGCAATTTGAGGGCGTCTGCCCCCCTTCCCCTCCCTCCCACTACCCCTCCATAAAGAGACTCTGCGTCGACGACCACGGCAAAACAAATCCACTTAACAGGAATTTACAGTGCAAAATGTAACTCAGCTACTACACAGGATGGAGGTACAAAAATGGCTGTTATCGGCTACAGCTACGCTGGGATGGCCTGGGTGGCTACGGCGAGAGGGGGCGAAGGTGGGGGGGGGCAAGAGGAAGGTAAATTAAAAAATAAAAATAAAATTTGTAAAAGAAGAATGTGGGGGGTGAGGGGGGAGGGAAGAATGGATCTACCGCAGAGACGGGGAGGTGCGGGCGGGAGGGGGTGCGGGCGAGGGGGGGGTGTCCCAAAAGAGGAGTGGTGTCCCGAAAAGGGGGGATGCTGGGGGGCTGGGGGAGGTAAGGGGCACCCCCCCACACTTTGTCCTGCCGGGACTGCGGGCCGCGTCGCCCCCCCCGCGGCGCCGGGAGCGGTACCTCTGTTGCGCACGGAGCCGAAGACGGGCAGCACCAGGTATCCGACGTGCACCAGGACCATGCTGCGGCCCGGCCCTTCCCGCCCCGCGGACGCGCCGCCGACTGCGCCGGGGCCGCGCTGCGCCCGCACACAAAGGGACCCGCGGCCAATGGGAAGCGGCGAACGCGGCGGGACACGCCCCCCGCGCGGGAACCGGCCAATGGGGGGCGGGGGGCGGGGCGAGGAGAGCGAGAGCAGGCGCGCACGCGCGGGAGGGGGGGGGAAAGAGGGGGGCTGGTGCGTGCGCGCGCAGACGCCGGGGGTCCGTCCGTCCGTCCGTCCGTCAGTCAGTCAGACTGTACATCTGCCATCCGTCCGTCCGTCCATCCAGCTATCAGCCATCCGTCCGTTTGCCCATCCATTCATTCATCCATCATCCATCCACCATCCACCCATCCTTCCATCCATCCATTCATCCATCATCCATCCACCATCCACCCATCCTTCCATCCATCCATTGTCCATCCACCGTCCGTCCACCATCCATCGCCCACCCACCATTCATCCGTCATCCACCCATCCGTCCACCATCCGCCCATCCCCAACCTATCCATCCATCCATTTGTCCATTCATTTGTCCATCCATCCATTCATCCATTGTCCATCCATTCACCACCCATCCCTCCATCATCTGTCCGTCCATCCACCCTCCACCATCCATTCATCTACCCACCATCCATCCATCCATCCGTCCATCCATCCATTATCCATCCGTCCATTCACCATCCACCATCCATACATTCATGCTTCCATCCACGATATATCCACCTCTCCATCCACCCATCCATCCATCCATTCTTTCACATGGATGTGTTGCACACACGTGTACACACACATGCCTGGGCTCACACGTGTGTGTGCCAGCATCCAGCGCACACCAGCACAGACACATGTAGGCACACAGCCCCGTGCACATGTGCAGCCCGAGGCACACACGCACACACATGTGCGGCCACACATGTTCACATGTGTGGGAAACAGAGGCACACGTGCACAAACACATGCACACATATGCTGGGACACACACATGTGTGTTGGCATCTGGAATACAGGCACACACCTCGTACACCTACACAGCCCTGTGCACATGTGCAGCCAGAGACAGACACACGGGCACGCACATGTACATGCACACACATACATGTGCACACATTTATGCAGATACACATGCATACATGTGCACACAT